CCCCAAGTACGGATACCTCAAGTCTGCAAGACATCGTCAGCTACCTGCCGGCAAACGGGGACTCGTCCACCCCCTCCTCGCTCTGAGGTCTCCCGTCTCTCGGGATGGCGACGGCGATCGATGGCCTTTTCGAGGCAACTTCTCTTTCTCTTCCTTTTGTCCCTCCCACTCATGCCCATTTACATGCTTATTTCGGTTATACGTTGATTAGAACACACCGAGTGTTCAGCGATCTGAAATGTCCCCAAGAAGGGTGACACTGGAGATGGAGTCAACCATCGACTTCGAGCCTCGAGGTCTTCACGCTTAGTACCTACCCGACAACGATGTTGACAGCAAAGATCCAGTCCAGAGAAACGACACCCCAAGAACTCCTCCCACCGTCTCGCGAAATGAAAGAACCATCTCCGTCTTCCATTTCCGTTCTCACCGGGGAAGGAAGAAAGAAGGCGAGAGAAGGAAGCGGAGCCCGCGCGGGGGGGAAGTAGGCTAGATGCCGGTGCCGGGCTTGGGGTGCTGGGTCACTGGGAGATATTGCAATCCCCGTGTAAACGAAGTCAACCATCTCCGAAGGGACACTCCACACCCGTCAAAACGGTTCTCAGGTCCAGTCCCAGTAGATAGGTGGATGCCCTCTTCCCCCGATGACGAGGACCCGGGTCTCTTGAGGTAGGCTAAGATGAAGGTCAGCTGTGCATAAGATTCATAATCCAAGTGTGCTGACCATTGTGTTCAAGCAGCGAGGTTGAGATAGTGATATATATACGCCTTATATACCGACTTACACAACATGGAAGCCTGCACAACTTCCCGCCCCACCCCACCACCCTCAGAATTACACAAACCTAGAACCTTCATTTGCAGAAAGAGAGCCAGGTTTCGTAGGTAAAACCATAACCAGCAACCCGGTATTCGTACCCGTCGTAACTTCCGACAAAAGTAACCCCCTCCCCTCCTCCCCAAGCCTCAAGGTTTCCAGAGCCCACCAATATTGACAGGCACAGCCACACCAAATCTCAATGACAGTTCACTTACTCATCTCACTCTCCGGAGGGGGAGGTGGGGAGGCAGAGGAAGGGGGGGTTAAATTGGAGTTGCTTCATCCTTTCTTGGACATTGACAACATCTCCACACCACACCCGCGGAGGCGGGAAAGGCGATGACCTCGAAAGGGGAAATCACTTAATCCACCCTGATAGCCCTCCCGTAATGTTACCAGTGTAACGGTAGCACTAAGCAATTTTGACAGGACGCAGAAGGCAGCTTCGCTTCCGGGCCGTGAGGGTCTTGAAGGAATTCGGATGTCAAGCCGCAATTAAAAAGCTTGGTGGGTTTACCAGGTATGTCGGGCATTCACGAACTCACCTCGTCGGGCCCGAAGAACCCTTGCGAGACATGAATCTCCGGCCGAATCCAATACACCAGCCCCGCGGGCAGCAAAAGCACGATGAACGACGCGTAAAGAGTGGCGATGAAGAAGTTTCCTGTTTCATCCGACAGGTTATTTTGTACTAAACACCAAAAAAAAAGATGTCCAAAAAAGACTACTCCGGGCCACGCTCTGTATGCGCTTTATATGCCTCAGGAGAGATGCAACCGTTTGTAAATGTAAGCTTATACAATGGGCTTTCGCCCGAAAAAAAAAAAACAAGCTGGGCGTGAACTGTAAGGCCACAGCTTTTTCATTTTTTTTTTGCCCTCCAGTTCGAATGTGAAAACCTCCCTCCTCCGTAGAGCCTCATTGTAATGAATCTCTCAATCCATATACATTGGATCCCCCCTCACCTGTGACATGGCCAGTCCCATGTCACCACCATGCATGCTCTGCATCGTAGCTTGCATATTAGGCATTGACCGGCTCATGTTGATTGCTTGCCGATTCGCATTCGGATTCCCGTTCTGCATCATGAACCGCGCATCGCTAGCACCCCTTTGCTGGACCTGCCTCGTCCGTGGCACCTCGAGGGTGGCTTGTCGTTGAATCGGCTGCTGGGGCATGGGCTTCGCGGTGGGCGTGTTCATTACGGCAAAACTGTCATCATCCTCCATCTCAGCGTCGGCGTCGGCGTCGGCATCCCCATCCGCATCGACATCTTGATCGCTTGCCTCGTCAATCGAGGGCGGGCCTGTTGAATCACCCGGGTCGCTATGGCCAGTGGCGCTCGTTGTCGACTGCCGATGCTCGGGGCTCGGGAATTGTTGCACCTGCTGTTGTTGCATTTGCTGCTGCTGTTGTGCTGCTTGCATCTGTTGGTGTTGTTGCGGTTGCTGTTGCTGCCCTTGCTGCTGGTTCTGTTGTTGCTGCTGCTGCTGTTGCTGAGGAGTCGGCGTCGGCGTAGGGGTGCTGTTGTTTGCTTGGTCCAGTGCCCTCTGAGCATTCATGCCAGTGTTGGCGACACGGTTCATGCTGATAACCGTCTTCCACCTCTCGATTGCCCGCACAACAACGTCGTTCAAATCCAATTGCCGGTCCTCTAATCGCAGTCCAACGTGGCGGCTTCCACTCTTGATGCCTGCCTCCAAAACGTGAGTGAGAAGCTGCCGCTCCAGGGGCACCGTGGCCGGCGAGAATAGCTTGAATTCTCGGGGCTGTTGGAGACGGTTGAGCTGGTCGATCTGAGACTTCAGGTTGGCGTTCTCCTGCTGTAGCCTGTGCTGATCATCCTTCATCTTGTCGATCTCGGTTTGCTTCCTGCCAACGCTCCTGGCCATTTCCAAGAGCCACACCTCGTTCCGCCGCTGAATAGGCAGAGAAGACCAAACTTGGAAGGCCGAGCCAAGGTGCTCATTCACCTGCTTCTCGAGGTTTTCTGCTGACTTTTCCGCTTTCTTCACTGCTTCGCGGGTGTCTCTGACGGGTTGATCCCGAGGAGGATACGTTAGATCTTCCATAGCTGCCGTAGTAGCCGTTGCGCAAGTGATTTTCCAGTTACTGAATTCTTCTTGGAAGAAAGCCTTCAGAGCATCGTACTCTCTTTGACCAGGTGACTGAACGGACCAAGAGGTGGAAGTGGGATGCTGGGTAGAGGAGAAGAGAGTGGGTGGCGAGGCGAGGCATTGTAAGGTTAATGCAGGAAAGTCGAGAGCTAGAGGGTCAAAGTCGAAAGGCATGGAGTTGTTGTCGATTTGTTGCCTAGAGTAGCCAGGGTTAGCCACCATATATCTCTTTCCCCAATTGTTCACACTTCTGTTGTTTGTCAGAGAAACTCACTTGGCTGCCCTCCACGAGCTTAGAAGCTCTCGTAATGCAAGCTCTGCCGCGCGAGCAGTATCCATGGCATCTGCTAGCTTGTGCTTGACGTCGAACTGCGCCTTTTGCATGACTTGCTTGCTCACTTGTCTTGGCCTCTTTCCTGCATTCTGGCTGCCCTCGCCATCGGTCGAAGTACCGACTTCGCCGTTTTTGGCGGGGATGTTGTTCATGACGCCAGTGGCTTCCCATGAGGGAGTCCAAGGATATTTGCTCAGCGTAGAGTCCACGGCGTATTGCCCGTCCTTTGGCAGAGCTGGGGACTTGTGAGACTCGCCACTATCTGGCGCAGCATCTCGCTTGGTGGCAGGTCTAGGGGTCGTGGCTGGAGTTGAGGCGTTCCTCCCACCCAAGGATCCTCTCGGCTGTCTGCGTGTGATGCTTCCTCGCAGACGCTTGATTGCGTCAACGTCGTGGATTCCATCTGGCGGCTTGGGGTTCTTTTCCTTGATGTAGAGATCGAGGTGTCGACCGAGAGAGGAGGAGGTAAAGGCCTGGCCGCAGTAGGGGCAGTTCTTATCCTTGGGGGCGCCTAGTTTCTGTTGGCTCGAGTCGGCGTTGCTCGCGGTTTCGGCCATTTTGGCTCGGGGTGTTGGATGTAAAGAGACGGGTGGGTAACGAGTGTTTCGAAAGGTTTATCGGCGGTAGGGACGAATTCGTGTTCGTTTCAGAAAGGGTGCTACAAGGCTTCTCTTGCGTGAATAGACACTTGCAGCTGCTCCAGGGGAGCTATGTAATCGAGGGTCATGTGTAGATGGACCGGGTAGAGAGTGATCGGAGGCGAAGCCAGCAAAGTTTAAAGTTGGTAGATAAGGTAAGGAAATGTAACGAGTGGTGTTGAGGACAGAGTAGTCAGATACGCAAAGAGAGTAGTTAAAAGAGGGAAATAATCAAAAAAGAAGGACTAGATGCTGAAGAGCTAAACGAGTGTGCGAAGAGAAGGAGGTCGGTGGGAGATGTCGAGAAGTAGCTGCTACCCTTGTACGGACAGAGGTTTACTGAACGCAAGCCAATCCTTGTGACGAAGAAACGTGTATATCGGCCGTTCACGGAGTCAGGTATGGGAGAGGTTCGGGGTCGGTTCGAGATGTGGGCGAGAGCTAAGGTAGCGAGTCGGGTTGACGGAGGAGGGTAAAAAGTAGGATGCCGGGTATTAAGGAAGTAGTAAAATCTTTTCCCGGACTTGTCTCTCTCTCACGCGCTCTTTCTCTCGGTCTCTCGATCTCTCTTGCCGTGCAGGTTCTCAATTCATCCGCGGACTCTCGCAATCTCTCGACCTCTCTGCAAAAACGAAAAGAGACGAAGAGGGGGTGGGTGGGAAAAGGGCAAAGGACGGGGAGGTGGAAGTAAAGTACAGAAGAGTAAGGGGAAGTTGCAAAAATGTCACCCGGGATTTAATTATTGCAGTTTTTTTTAATAAGGCAGGCGGGCAGGGGTAGCACCACCGACCCGCGCCAGAACAGGACGGCGAGGTGGGAGCTTTGGCGCACCCTAAGGTACCACCTACCTTGGTCCTTGAGACCTTGGGTGCTTAGGTACACCTCATTGTGCGGTACGGGGCGGAGAACTGAGGTGCACCCCCCTCCATCTTCTCTACAAGTACATACCCACCTCACCTCACACTAAAACCATCCCTCTTCATCCCTCATCCCTCACTCATCCCATCCGGGCCATTCCAATCCCAATCCCAATCCAATCCAATCCAGTCCAATCCTAATCTATCCTGTCTATCCACCATGACCAGCAAGCCAGCTCCTCACTCCTGTCCGCTTTCCCCCAGATTGCCGCCAGTGTGCAGGTGCAGGTGCCCTGGTGGCCAGGTGCAGCGCGCGCGCGCAAGCTGCAAGCACAGACGGAGCCAAGGACGGCCCAGATGCAAGCCCCCCCTTCACAAGTTCACGGGCTCAAATGTCCAGGGCCGTACGGTGGTCCCACCTCTGCGCCGGTGCTCTTTTTTTCATATCCATAAACACCTTTTAATAGCCATTCACTGCACCTTAATAGCATCTTAGCACACTGATCTACCGTAGCATTAAAATAGTTGGAATATTGACTTGGTGAGTTAGGTAATGTCCAATGACGCCTCATGAAGCTGGCTGCGTCAGGGAGGCGAGCCGTAGGGCCTCATCAGCCAACGGGGAGAGGAAACGTATTCCTGCATCTCCTCTCTCGGAAGGTCGAGGCCAAGTCCAAGATCAAGGTACCTGACGCTGTACCATTCATGACAGATATCCCAGCACACCATAATCAACCGCCTCGCGCTTCGAAAACAAGGTCAAGAGAGAGCTCAAGCTATCGACACCTTACTTTACTAACTGCCCGGGAACACCTTACCTTAATTCTACACCGACTGCACACCACCATTGTGATCCATAGCATCTCAAGCGGCTTTGCCTATCGGGGTAACATGGCTAAATTTTCACACACAGAGTTAAACCGAGAATCCCTCGTCCGCGGAGTAGCTCCATCTCCAAAGACTCCATCGACGCGCTCTTGTTGGTCCAAAGTGCCCACCAACTCCTCAACTCGGCATCTCTCCAGAGAGCCAGTCAAGAGTCCCCTAAACCTACCAAGCACGCGATGTGTTCAACTGGGACCCAAACTCAGTCCTCAGATATCAAGACCATCCCGCTTAGGATGTCTCCTTGAGCCGCCGTCATTCCAGCGTCTGGTGCCTCTCTCACATGTCCCGTCGCTTATTCGCTTAGTGTAGTGCTAATCTGGCCCGCGGAAAGGAGAGGGACAGCCCGGCGTCGCCCTGTGCATCAGTGCTACTGGTCTAGCGCTGTCGTGAGGGGTGTACCGGGAACTTTTGCCTCGAGCAAGCTTGCTTGTCGTGTCTCTTCCACGTCGTCTCTTGTCTTGTCTTCTCCCCCTCGGGTCCCGATCTGAACCACCCATACAAGACCCTTTAACAGTCAAGGGAATATTTCTTCAACCCTGCCGAGCTACCTCATTAAGCCATAATTGCGTTGGGCAGCCTGGCCTCTCTCCAACTCTCTAACTCGGGCCCGTCCTTGAGGGGCCCTGGGTTCGCGGCTTGTCATTGCGAAAGAGCTCCAGTATCCAGAGGCCACACAGGCTTGACAGCCGTCGACGGTTGTGACTCGTGAGGTAATTAGCTGAGGGCACGACCCAATGGAATCCACGGCACAAATGCTCAATAAAACGCAAAGATGCCCAAAGCCAATATTTCGTCTGGTCCAGTCACAGTGGTGCTCCAGTCTCCAGTCTCCAGTCTCCAGTCTCCAGATACCACCTTTCAACTCACCTCATTCCCATCCTCACCGCGTTGGACAAATTCTGGCTAGACTGGTCGACCGACCGGGGCGCGGGTTGGCATGCCCGGTTCGTTTCTTTAGGCTCCTGGGGTCCCACAGACTCCCACTGGCTTGTATCCGATCCATTTTTCAGGGGGTTTCCGGGAGATCATCCAGGGGAGCCGGTGAAGGACCTCGTGCTAACGGCGCCGACGAACATCGCGGAGTTTGTCTCATGAACATTGCTCACGCAGCATGTATACGTCCTGGATCTGCATACAGTAAGGCAAAGCGTCTGGCCTTCATCAGTTTCTGACAATGTCGGCAAGAGCTTGTTCCGACGAGAGACGGCAGGATTCCACACGTAAACAAGGCCGTGTTCTGCCGAATGTTTGGCCTTGGCTCTTGTTCCTCTCCGCTCCGTGTGTTTGACCCGGGGATGCCATCCGGTGTAAAACGACCCCGTTTTCCTGCATCTAATAATGGGGTTGGCATCTGCAAGACGCGACGCAAGGACTACGGGACAGATAATCACGTCCAGGCCACTCATCCTCGAGCTTGCGGCGGCGGCGGTTCCTATCGCCCGCTGTTGCTGGATTCGCTGACACTCCCGGTCCTGGTCGTCCCCTGGAGGCTGGTCGTCTAGTGTAGCCTCCCGCAGCCGCAGCATCTTGGGTCAACCTTGTCTGTCTGGGACCGTCTCGTACGGGCCCCATAAAGTCCACCGAGGAGGTCGACTCAACTGCACACCAACTGACGTTAGCAGCCTGCAGGACACCGATAATTTCCCGCCGCCTCTCGTACGGCAGCTGGAGCTGACACTCAGCGCCACGGCGTGTTTGGCCCTGATCCAGAGCAATAGGCACTCGCTGGCCCGTTCTTCGACCTTAAAATGCCATAAATTGGCATCATCCGCCCTGGGTTTGACGCGAGGGAGAAGCGAAGTAGTTCTGTTGGTCGGTCGGGACTTTGCAGATGATCACCGAGCATGGCTGGCACTTGTCCACCAGCTGCGAAACCGAGATCCATGTCTTTTGGCGCTTGCCTAACCCTTTTCAAGAACGTCTCGTTGGTTGTCGTATTTGAACAGCAAATCGCAACCCCTTTTGCACTGCAGACATTTTGATGAGATGCAAATTACGCTTCTGCAGTTACATGCAGATACGCTGCACATCGAGTCGTTTTTTCTCCGTTGGTTGGAGCGGCACAGTCTTGTTGGTGCCGAGAAGCGCCCTTCACAGGATAAAGCAGCAGTGTCTGGCAGATCTCAGCGAGCTCGCTGGCAAAAAAGCAGACCTCGGCGTACATCGCAGATGCGTTCTTCTTCTTGGATTGGCTGTCGTCGATCGTCAGATTAGCCGCGCACGAACTCATGCGATTTGCCGTATCCAACACCCAACGACTTTGGCAAGGGATGATTGCCGTTGAGTAAGGTAACGACGCAAGCTTTGACCAGACTAGCTTGCGACGTTGGAAAAAAGTATAATCAGCTTATCGACTGCAGCCGGTGTCAATGTCATAAGGATCAAGGCACCGCGATGCAGCGTGTGAGATGTGAAGAATTGGCAGGATCAACTTGGGAAAAAGTTGTTATCTGCTCAGAATTCGTGCGGCAAAACGGGACAGTGAATTGCTTAGGTACTTATTCTAGAAGCTTCCAATCGAGGCGAGAACGTATCAGTTCCTTCCTAGAATTGACTCTCTGGTATTCTACTATACCAGCGTACAATGAAGGGACTACATTACATCAAGCAAGGCAAGGTACCTTGAGGGAACGACGTAGGTGGGTAACTTACAAACGGGAGTAAGATTCGAGGCCGACCTTCCAGGTTGGAGCTTGGTCCACGGGTTCGGAGCTCCACATGAGCTCCTTCTGCCGTCAGTTGTGGGTACTCAGAGGATGGGGGCTCCCGGACTTGCAGGAAAGCGCCGGAATTGGTGGCGGCAGGTATCCGTTCTTTCTCCTCCGTCCAGAGAAGTGGCTAGTGCATGGAGATCACGTGACGGCCAAGCGCCACAATTGGCTGTGACGCGACTTTGCTCCAGCCTCTTGCTACCTTTATGCAAAAGTTGGGGCAGCTTCCGGTATTTGCGATCGTCTCTTTGGCAGCGCATCGCAGCCTCCTTTCACGTTGAGTCTTGCGCAACCTCCTGTTTGCGACCATTCAGGTCGCTACTGCCTGGACGAGCTGCGTATACACCTTGAGAAAAACAATCCCTACACAATGCCTCCCGGTAAGTCCTCACCTCTTCGAACTTCACCCCTCGTGCCACTAGCCAAGTCGCGTCGAGATTGCGACAACACACTTCACGACGCGAATCCTCCACCAATTCTCCATACAAAGTCACAATGCCGCGTCGCAAAGCGAACAAGGGAAAGAAGCCCATGAAGCTGACAGCTCCAATAGCTATTAGCGACGATGAGATGTCCGAAACCGGCGGCGAAATCGCTATCCCGCTCAAGGAGAAGCGCGCAAAGAGCCGATCCGCAGAATACCGAGACGATGTCAGCGAAGCTAAGAGCGAAGAAGACATTCCCATCATCTCCGGCGACCTGAACGGCAACGCCACCAAGCCTACCAAAGCTGCTAAGGCAGCCGCTGTCGTGGCCGATGAGGAGGACGAGGAAGGCGACGAAGACGATGATTTAGAGGCTGATGAGTACGCTACCCACACCAAACGGCTTTGCTCGGACAAAAGGGCTTACCGGCCATAGATACGTTGTCGAGGAGATCCTTGACCATGTGGTTTCCGACGACGCAAGTGGCCCTCTTCTGTTCTTCTGTTGGCAGTGCGCCTCGATACTAACGCTTCTTGCAGGGCACTGTGAACTTCCGTGTCAAATGGGAAGGTTACTCTAAGAAATCAGACCAGACCTGGGAGCCGGAAGACAGCCTGAAGTAAGCTTCAAACTGTGATCTGCGATCGACACCAATTTTGAAACGACGCCTAACACATTACCAGGGAAGGCGCATCAGAGATCTTGGAAGAATACCTTAAGAAGCTCGGTGGGCGTGAGGCGCTGTTTGAAGAGAAGACCAAGGCCAAGACCACGAAGAAGCGCGGCCGCCCCAGTGCTTCGTCATCTACACCGCCGGCGAGCAGCAAGAGGGGCAAGCGTAATGGTCACCCCGCCGAATCTACTCCTCCTGCGTCAGTAAAGGAGGCTAAAGCGAAGGCCTGGACGCTGCCCAGCGGCAGCTGGGAGGATGACGTCGAGTCGATCGATGCCTGCGAGGACGAAGAGTCAGGCTCCATCATTATCTATCTCAATTGGCGAAACGGCCAGAAGACTAAGCATCCCAAGGAGGTAGTGTATAAGAGATGTCCCCAAAAGGTATGGTCCCATGTATCTCGGCGCAACACGGGATGACGACGCTAACGGATACGTAGATGCTGCAATTTTACGAAAAGCACATTCGCATCATCAAGGCGGGACCTGACGCCGATCCTACAGACCTTGATACCGCGCCCGAGGCCAAGATGTAGGACACGAAAATAAGGGTGCCGTTTGTGAATTTTATTGGGAAAGGATTGGCGTTTGGGCTCGTGATACATCTGATATCATTAGCAGGTTCTCGAGCGCCATTGGCTTGGCTTCTGCTCGTTGCGATATTTGCACGCTTTCAGTCCTCGGAAGAAGTCTCATCAGACCATATCTAAAATCAGGTCGAAGACGATTCGGACTGTGGGAGGGCTTGCTATATCCTTATTGCAATTGGATTAGCGGGAGGAGGTGTGCTTCACGGTTATACTTCGTAATTTCGGGAGAAAAGAAAACCGCAAGTTCCTCTGTTGATTCCAATTGCTCCAGCTGATGGGTGAGGTTGCCCTTTGTTGTCTCCGTAAAGGACGGTGAACATCTTACATTCCCAATATGCCAACGCAGCTTGGGCGGGCAGGAACTTCTCGGCGTTCATATATTACGAGTGAGCAACATGATCTCAGAGTCGTGAAAGGCACTTCATCCATGTCAATAGGCGGGTGCCGCCGAGTGCTAGATCCAGGTACGATGCAGGTACAGCTAAGTCATGGCCAAGTAGCGCTTTCGGTCTCGTCAAAGTCACGACACACACAATTTTACAGCAAAGAGTACATCCGACCTCTCCCTAAGACGGAGAGGCTTACTGCGACAAGGGTAAGAAACCTGCATGTTGCGAGTCCGCGAGGTTGGGTAGTGGAGGACGTCGACAGCAAGCCCGTCGGGATACTCCACTAAAAAGCAGCTTTACATCCCTGCATCGCAGGCGGTTGGACGAGTAGGACAGCCTGAAAGTCGCGGTAGCGTTGTCGCGGATTTTTTGGCCCAGGGTGGTAGTGGTGGTGGTTGTGGTACTTGGTGGTGCGGCGCGCGGCCCAGCCTCTCGCATTTCTATTGACTTTCGGGTTTTGCGGCTGGGCGGGCGACCAGCTTTGGGAAAGCTGGTGGCGGGGCAACGCTTCTTTTTAACGTGAGGCTTGCCCGCGCTGCATTCCTCACCATTTTCAATTCCCTCCTCTCTCTCTTCTGATACACTGCATATTCTCATTGCGAAAAAGGGTTCATTTGAATGATCTCGAGGTTTCTTTCCCCCCTCTCCTCCTCATCATCGTCGACTACCCCGTAGTGAACAATCCCGTTGTGCACTCTGAGTCTCTATCGTCAACCTTTACCCACATCTCGGACCCATACATCTCGGCACTTGACGAATTCCCGGCAGGGAAATTGAGCTGCTCATCACGGATTGAAATCTCATCAAGCCGTCGCGAACGACAATTCCTTAGCTTCCAACTGGAATTTAGATCGAGGACAATTGTCTGACAGGCCATCCCAAAGGCACAGACAAAAACCTCGGACCGTTGAAAGATACCACCAAACTCAATCGTCTTCCCGAGACCACATTCCACGGCGTCTCCGCCCAGACCCTCCGTGTCTCTCTTCCTCCTCCCAGCCACCGGGCTCTCCACACAAGCTGTCCCCCGCACCGCTCCACACCGGCGCCGGGCTCACTCCCACAACCCCCACCAAAAAATCATCGCAGCCATTAGAGCTCCCGTCAGCTTCACACTCAAGAACCGCACAAGACCAAAGGACGAACAGTCCTAGCTAGCAGTCATGGTCAAACAAAACGACGTCATCGCGATCATTGTCATCGTGCTGTTCGTCGTCCTCGCCCTCGTTGCCTTTGGCATTTACAGATTGGTCCACGTTGCGCGCCAGAGCATGAGTGTGACGTCTGGGTCGAGTAGTAGCAGCTCCGACGAGATTGTCGACGACTGATCTACTCGCCGTTCATCTTTACGGGATTTACTCGGCGCTGCGGCTCGCTGCTGCTGCTGCTGCAATTACCATCTACCATCGCATTTACACTGAGATACCACGACAAAAACTGTTTACGCAAGAAAGCGCCATCGCATTTCTTCTTGCGAGTTTGAGAGCGTTATGCCAAGGCTTCGGCTGAGACTACGACATGGAAGGGAGAAAGAAGGGAATGAATGAATCTGGGATGAGTGATAATGAGGAGGGGAAATTTTGGAAACATGGAAAGGGATATGAGACATGATTTATCGGCATTTTTATCTGGCATTTGCGCAGCATTTTCTTACCATACGAAGTTGGTCATTTGGGTTACAAGATGCAGCAAAATGCGTCTGTATGGGGGAAGATATCTACGAGTGTATGATACTGGATCTGGAATGGGCTGCGCCGGGATTGGCGACCTTTTTGAAGGCATGAAGACGAGCCCATGTACATAGAACGAACAAATGGGATGAAGTAGGCCTTTGAATGAAGGCTCAAGATGAAATAGAACTGAATACTAGATATCACCACACCTGGCAGGATCGATGTACCCGTAGTTTCCTTCTAGGAAAAGGAGGCGTTTGAGGAAGATATAAAAGACCGTTCCTTAACCTCACATTACCTATCCCAGCCATGTATGCGATTGTAAGGTTATCGGCCCGCGGTTGCAAGTGGCGAACGTCTTGCGAAGTGGCCAGCTGCCAAGTACTCGCTAAATTGGTTCTGAAAGAACCTGCCGAGTGACTGATTTTGAATAAACATGTGCCTCTCGTCCGTAAATCACGGTCATCGTGCACGTATTCGTGACTCAATCGCCAGGTTGGAGGCCATGATTGCAAGTGGTAAATGTTTTTTAAGGTGCTATGGCTGTTTGCTAAGTCGGCTTTAGGAGAACTTGTTAAGTAATATATTTTAAGTAATTCCGTACCTTTCTTCTATAAATCACTGTTGTCATTCACAAATTCGTGACTCGAAAATCACGAATTTGTGCGAAGGCGCTAGAGCGAATACCAAACGGCACTGCTAATGACAAACACATGCAAAGACACTCGAGAAGATACTAGATAACGCTGCTGATCACGAATCCTTGCGAAGGCGCTCGAGAATATGATGAACAGCTCTGTTCTTTCTGAAGACAATGGGATAGCCTAGACAAAGGCAGTTGGTTGCAAATTGATATCTGCGTTCCTTCCTTGGACCCATTCAAATCTCTAAGAACATGGTTAAATGTGACGTAGCTCGCGGTATAGAAGAACAAAGGATTATAACGTTAAACGCAAGCTCATTTGCCTTTTTATAAAGATTCATGATACTAAAGTTGTTCTTGTCTCCTGGAGCTCATGTGCCTGCAGAGCTACATAGCATAGCCCGTTTGAAGATCATCTGGTTCTTTCCAAGCTGAGATATAGGATGGAAGAACATATGTGAGCCTTTTGACTCGTCGCAAGTTTTTGTTTGTGTCACTGCTCTCACTCACAGGTAAATAGTGCGGCATCACTGCTGACAACATGCATGGGGATGCAGGCAATGATGGGGCCACTCACATTGCAGGCTGTGGGTATTGGCTGGTGGGCAAGGAACTCAAGTAGCTAGATCAGGCTATGAAAAGCGACCATATTCTCTTCCATCGACCTCATAAACTCTAGCCATGAAAACATTACAAAAATGCGTCTGATCAATGTGAACACACTCCTACTGGAGGAGTTCATGGGCCGGTGCCCCCAGTACGCAACTCTATCTCACACTTGGAATGGCACGCAGGAGATAAGTTTCAAGGAGTGGCAGAAACAACATGTCGCCAAATCCAAAGAACAGAGGTACGCCAAAATACTCGAGGCTTGTCGGTTGACACGTGAATTCGGCCTCGAGTACCTGTGGGTTGATACGAACTGTATCGACAAGGAAAGCTCTGCCGAGCTCTCAGAGGCAATCAACTCAATGTTCAACTGGTATCAAGAATCGGCTGTTTGCTTCGCTTATCTCGAAGACCTTGACTTTGAGGATACCAGTTTGCCGGAAAGCTCAGGCGACGGTATCTCAAGTCAACAACGACGTTGGCGATCTGAACTCGCTCGTAGTCGTTGGTTCACCCGCGGCTGGACATTGCAAGAACTCTTGGCCCCGAGGCGAATGTACTTCTTTGACAAGAGCTGGAGGATCCTAGGATCGCGGCAAGACTTTGCGCCTGAAATTTCAAACATCACCGGAATAAGAAACGAGTACATTTCCGGCGCCAAGTCAGTCTTGGACGCGAGCATCTCGGAGGTATTCTCCTGGCTGGCGGGCCGAGAGACGACACGTTCCGAAGACATGGCGTACTGTGTGCTGGGACTCCTCGGTCTCAACATGCCGTTACTATACGGCGAGCGTTCGGCGGCGTTTATACGCCTCCAGGAGGAGTTGATCCGCATCTCGGACGACCAGACAATCTTCTGTTGGACGTGGGATCATACGATCCCACATGACTGGAGTAGTCTACTCGCACCATCGCCTTCGGTCTTCAAGGGCGGCGACCGTTTCTTCTGCGGGTCAGAGACCGACGAGTCTCTTGTCGGATGGAGCATGGCCACGTCGTACTCGATGACCAACGTAGGTCTGCGCATCCGCCTGCCCACGCTCAAGATGTCCGGTCTAGATCTTGCTGTGCTGAACGTATCCGAGAGGAGAAGCGAAGCAGGAGAAGAAGACCCAAGCACAGGCCGTGTTTGCATCCCTCTTCTGACGAGCAATTATGTCGGAACTTCAGATGGCGTCTCGTCACTGATTGACGGTTCTGCGGTCGGCGCTCAACGATGGCCGATACCCGCACGACCCATAGCTCTCTATGAGTTGAGGAACATATACCCCTCCAGCCTACAAGAGTTCTGCATTCATCCACTGCAACGGAACGCTGAATTGTTGAAGTACGCTATTTCACTCTGGTATAAAGGAAAGCCTGGGCACGGAGCATCGCAGATGATTATGCCAATCATCGAGACACGAAAAGCACCACGATTTCACATAGAAGTCGGCTCGACCGACCAGAGTTCCGTGACCTCACAGCATGCAAAACAATCTGAGCATTTCTATGTCAACTCGACCGGCCAGGCGCCCTTCAACACACCATACAGAGGCCTTGTCCCGCTCTTTATAAGACGGCGTGGAACACTCGGAGTTGAGCTACAGTTGAACATCGGAGACGGCCGCGTCGAGAGAGTCGTTGTCGGGGTCCACGCTGCGGCTGAAGAATATTTTCCTCGGGAGAAGGGAAACGACGATTGGTTTTGTTACTTCAAAGACGAAGAGTCGAAGCGGGCAATCTCGGGAGAGTGGTCTTGTAACATGGCATGCTCACCGGATAGGACCATCTTTGTGCATCTGGGTCGACGTACGATACAGTTACCTCACGGCGTGGTGGCGAGGCCGGTGTATATTTCCTTCTTGCCGTCTCCTTCTCTGCTGGAAAAGATGTTTGATCGATTGGGACTCTGGAAAAATGCGGATGTCATACACAATGCTGTGCATCGCAAAATGTTGAGCTGGCCATGGGATGTTGGTGACCTTTAGATAGGATTCAGCTAGGCCGATCGATGGAGGGCCAATATCGCGTATGGACCTCAAGGCCAAAGCAGACCTATGCTTGAGACTGAACTCGATTTTAAAGTATGGAGGAAAAGCTTTCAGAAGAAAAGCGCTGGTTCCATACCTGTTTCATTGTTTATCTTGTGGAGCAGAAGAAGAGGCCGCCATACATCAACGATGTTCCGCTTTATGTCTTGGCTCACTTGTCTCAATCGATCAATCTCTTGGAGCAATAACCGCATTCAAGCTCCGATCTGTCTAGTTCTCGCCCAAAACTGAAAGAAAAGTACTCCGTTGCGAGGTGAGTCGAGGTGTAAATACCCTTTCAGGGTGCAGACAACTTTAGGGAAGGTCTCTTGGGAGGAAACAACTCGAATGTTACCGACGCAGCTACAGTATTCAACATTTCCTTCACAGAGACCAGAGAAGAGTGTAGGACATATAAATTAGTCTGCTAGCCCCTGACAATATCCCAGCGCTCATAGCTGGCCTACTTCCACTTCAACAGACTGTCAACTAATAAGACAAGGACCAAGCAGCATCGCCACCAAAATGAGCCAAATAGACGGCGGCCTCGATTTCAACTACCCCACCCGCAACAAGATCCTCTATCAAGAGCAGAACGAAGTGGGCTACGTCGACGGAGACGAAAAAGCCGTATTCAACGAAGCATACCGAGAAGACGGCCCCCAGCTATTCACGGGAGAGGTGCTCAAGCTATGCGCAGGGCACTTTCTCAAAAAGTGTATACTTCCAGGCAGCACATACTTCACTGCGGGGGTGACACCGGAAGGTAAGGCCAGGCTCCGCTGCATGAGAGAATGGCCGTGGAAAGAATGCAAACGGACGCTGGGAGAGTATAAGAGTTGGCGTTACAGGTACACGGTCGAGGGCACTATCACATTCCACGGCCGTATACAGCCGATAGGCAGGGAGGGCCCAGAGGAAACGGTTCAAGACGCTCAGACGAGCCAATATCAGACTCAGGTGGTTGAGATGTGGTAGGAGGAGGGTAAGGTGAACGTGGAACAGCAAGAGAGTGGTTAGATTTCTGGTGCTTGGTCTATTGGCGATAGGCCGAGGGCGTCTTCTTGGTGACCCTGCAACGTTGGCAGGTGGCGTTGCAAATTGTTGTGCTCTGGTTGTTGTCCATAATATACCCTCCGTGGAAGAATTCAAAGCTAGATAATGAGGAGAGAAGTCTGGATTACTGGGCTATTGGCAGAGCGATAATCTAAAAGGCACATGATATAGAAAGCTGAGATTGGTTTTATGAGACAGGAACAGATTGAGGCGATATGCGACCGTCTCATTCACCAGCCAACTGTGGTTGATTTCGAAGGGAAAATGAAGTAGCGTTTTTTGACATGGGTTGCCTCAGAGTCTGTGAGGCTCATCGTGTGAGGTGAATCGATGATACCTCTGTTGCTGCTTCACTTGACGTTGATAGCTGGACTTTGAAGTCGACCATCTGAAGTCGGATGCACGGTTCACCCCCAAAGTAGAGTGGTTGGTCATGAGAGCTTCACTGGCCATCTGATGATGATATCCAAACACTGAATAGTGCGCAGCGAGTTGAGCGAGAGTCGGGTGAGTAAGCCTTTTGACTTTGGCGATATAGCTGCCCAAGAAGTACAAGGTTCACTGTCAGAAGTGCCCGAGGGCGTCGGCAGAAAGAACAAGAGACAGAGACGGCATCGGAACCCCGGATGTTGCAGTGATGGGCGTATCGAGGGGGCTATCTCATTCATGGGCAGGGCAGCTTGAAACATGGACTGGTGGGAGGCATGACGGGCGCCCGAGCTCTCTGACGGCAACCTTGCCGGATGATGCGTCTGATATCGGTTCGGTGCATAGACGGAAAACAAGCAACGGGAATATGCGGGCGTGTGTCTCTTCTCACAAGCATGAATTGTTCATGTGAGGTTGAAATATCGTTAAAGAAGGCGGTTATCTGCACGGTAACCTTCGCAAGAAGAGGATTGCTGAAAAAGGGGACTGAGTTGCAGGGCGAGCTGCGAACGAGCCAGGCGATTGCGGGACATTCCACCACCTTACGGATACTTAGGTACTTACAGATAATTAGCGTTGTGGCATTGGGAGGAAGGAGCCACCTCATCCCTCCCAAATCAATCTTTCAGCGCTCCCGATTGCGTAGCCCAGGGAAGTATGTCGCTGCAAGTTCCCGTCAGGTAGCAGATAGACAGGCATTTGGGTAGGTACCACCAATGTACCGTGGAGTCGATGCGGGACCGAGATGGTAGAGGCATTGAACATTGAATTCTGTGAACGACCAGACTCGACGGCTATTACTGGAGTAAAATGATGGAAAAACATAATATTTATTCTTTGCAGTGATTAAAATCAACGTGAGTAACAGAAACATCTTCACCAGCCACACTGATGGTGAAGTGGCGGCGCTATCAGGCTTAGCTGGGGACTGACGCTAACAGGAGCCCCAGACTCGACGGTCGAAATACTTCCCACCCCCAATCATTCAGCGGGACCAAAGGCTGCCCTGGCAGCAAGCTACCCCCAAGGACAGACAGATTCCAGCACACGTCCACCCGTTCCCCTTCTGGCTTGCATCACGACACAACCTCGAAATCCCACCTCAACCTCATTCAACTCCCTTCTGAGCGTATTGTCCCCCCCCCCCCCATCGCACTGCCACGCCGCCCTCCCGATTCCGATTGCGCGACGACCATGTAAATGGTTCCTCCCATTGCATTGCGAACACCCTCATGATTGCTCCATTCCACTGCGACGGGACCGCCCTACCGAGCAGCCATGGACAACAGGGCCCAACGATTCGAGGATGAGAAGCGGCGCATCATCGAGAGCTGCTTCATCAAGAAGGATGTAGACGGATCGTGTGCGTCGAACCCCGATGTCGCTAGAATTTCTCACTCAAAAAGTCTGCTTCATATGCGTATGGTACTGACCCTTGCTTCCGTCGATAGTGCTCGAGACATACATCACCCACATTCGAATCACCGAGTACTCCTCCCATCCGACCTCTCCTCCACCGCCTCAAGCACGGACACCCGAATCACAGAAACCCCGTGTAATCGTCGTTGCAGTGCGAAAGAGTGGCCGAGTGCGTATGCACAAAACGAAAGAGAACGCCAACGGCTCCTTCTCAATTGGAAAGACATGGAACCTCGACGACCTCTCTGCCATCGAGTCCTTCACGGGGCCGCCGGCTAACCCGACCTTCCGCGAATGGGCTGGTGATACTGGCTTCATCGTCACCATCGGAAAGCCTTACTTCTGGAATGCGCAATCGGATAAGGAAAAGAAGTTCTTCATTGCCAGCCTGGTTAAGATCTATGGCAAATACACGGGAGGCAAGGTCCCTGAGCTTTCGGGCTTCGACCAGGCCGAGATGGCCCAAATCCTGAGAAACGAACGACGACCACCCCCTCCCGCACAGGCTGCCTTCCGACCTCCCGCAATGCCCGATGCTGCTTCTAGTCAGACCAGCCTCGGCGCTCCGAATGCGCCCTCCAACTATGGCACTCCCTCGCCTGGCCCCCCAGGCCCTCGCCGACCACCACCTCTCAATGGAATGGCGAATAACTCACCAGCAGGAAGCATGGCATCTTCGTTCTCGCAGGAACCCCCTACGCTGCGAAGATTCGGGAACAAGAGCCAAGAATCTTTCTCGCCTTCCCTGGGAGGCAGGAGCGACGATACGGGAAGCATGCCGCCGCGCTCACGGAATGGCATGCCTGGGCAAGGGGCCTTTGGTAGGTTCGGTGAGCCAGGTCAAGAGCCTGGACTAGGACCCCCTCCGCCAATCTCCGAAGAAGGCAGACCGCCAGAGAGGAAGAGGCCACCGATGGACCCGGCAAGGCCCCAGGGACAGGGCTTCAACGACAGAGACCTGGTTCCTGCGCCCTTAGTGAGCCCGGGGATGCGACGAGATCAAGTAGCCCCTCCCCCGAGGAGTACAGCCAGGAAGAACTCTCTTTCGCAGAGGTCAGATGGAGGTTCTTACAGGGACAACCGACCAGTTACACCCCTTACGCCTGGAGACCCGGGTGCACCAGATGTTCCTCTCGCACTCAGAACCCCAACAAGAAATGGGGCAACACCCACAAGACAACCTCCTCCTATTGTCTCTCCGCCGCCTGAAATCCCTGTTCCCCCTGTTCCCCCTGCCCCAGTTTCTCCCATCATGCAGAGTCCGCCTCCAGCCCCTCCACCAGCGCCTGTAGCTGCGGTTGAGGAAATCATACCCGAGGAGCCTCCGGCTGTTGAGCCTACCCCTGAGCCTGAGGCTCCCGTGGAACAAGAAGATGAGAGTCGGCCGGGTTTAGGACCGATGATTAAAGCAAAGAAATCCAAGAATGACCTCGCTGGTGTGCTCTGGAAGGCTGCCTCCGCTGCCTCAGCTTTCAAGCCTCGGCCTGGTGGTGCTGGTGAAAGACTTCGACAGCTTGCCACAAAGAGCACTGAACCTGCCGAAGGAATCACAACAGTTTTCCAACCTCCGCCACGGCCTGCCTCCTCTGACGGCCCCAAAGTCACATCCCCAGAACCTGCAGTCGAAGAGACTGCTGCACCTGCGGAGCCTCCCAAGCGCACATCTGGTGTGCCTGAGGTCAAGGTCACTGTGCCTAATTCTAGTCGACCATCAAGCTTGCAGCCCTCGATTCAGGAAGTTATTAGCGTGAAGAAGCCAGAGGAATCCGTAACCAAGGAGGAGAACAGCAAGTCGATAGTTGCCGGTAATGACGCCAAGTATCTTGCATCTCTTGGTATTGACCCCACAGTCTTGGATAACAAGAGCGGCGAATTCACAAAGTGGCTTGACTACTTTGGCTGGGTTCCTGGCGAGCAGATGAGATCTCGTAACGTGGACGAGATGAGGACAGACCTTGAGCGAGAGCTCAACAAAGCCCAAGCCGGCGGCTGGCTAGCCCGGTTCCAGGAAGAGGATGATCGTGTCGAGGCTATCAAACGCGGCATCGATCTGGCAGTCGCTGAGTGTGAGGAAATGGAGAATCTTCTGACGCTGTACAGCGTTGAACTTTCGGTAGGTTGCTTCGTAAACTTTCCGAAACTGTTGCTGACTAGAAATAGACTCTTTCTGATGATATTGCATACATTGAAGCCCAAGGCCAGGGTCTTCAGGTGCAAACTGCTAACCAGAAGCTGCTCAAAAAGGAGCTCGAGTCTCTCCTTGAGACAACTACTATTACTTCTGCTGATCTGAACGCCTTGAGAGCGGCACCACTGGAAGATCTGAACGGCCTTGAGGACATCGAAATGTCTTTAGTCACTCTCTACAAGGCCATGATCAAGATTGATCCCACATTACTAGGGGGCGAACCACGAAAGAGCGAAGATATCGGCGGAGAAGTTGATCAAGCCGTGGGTCTCGAGAACACCGACTATGGCAAGATGAGAATCGTTCAGGAGAAGAAGGAGATGTACCGACAAGAAAGCGCTGTCTTCTCGCGACGGTTGGTCGGCTACATGGCCCAACAGTTCGATGTGGCCTACAACGAAGTCAACAGAGCGCTTCGCGAAGCTCTTTCAAGAAAGGTGGATTCTCGCCACCACGACACCGGTCGGGACATGTTGTGGAAGTACAGTCCCTTGATCAAATACGCCAAGGACGTCGACCCCGCCAACTGGGATCGCATGATCCAGGTCTACCAAGACAAGAGCCACCCGGTCTATAAGAACGAATTCCGCCAGGTCTTGGAAGCCTGGAAGCGCAATGCGCGCAAGATGACCGCTGACGAGACATCCGAGCTCCTGTTTACATTTGAAGTCGAAAAGCAACAGGAAGGCAGAGCGACCACTGTCAGGAAGCTTACCGTCAAGCGGAGTCAAACATTGGCCAAGAGTCTGCGTTCGCCCATCGATACCAGCAGCAGGACTAACCTGAAAGAGTCGGGCGAGAACCGAAGCCTTCCTTACGAGGTATTTGGACAGGTACTGGACGACCTTCTGCCGTTAGTTGAGATGGAGCAGAACTTCATCATCGACTTCTTCCACGCCACCACACTGGAGCAATCAGACTTCCCGGACCTGGTCGCAGCCAGCAGGCCGACAGATCGGAGAGGCGGCGACTTGCGTCGCCATCGTTTGATGGAGCCTGACCGCGATCTTGCTCGACGTGTTACTAAGGGTATGGAGGTGATTTTCATCTTCCTCGAGACAGAGATTGCCAAGCTCATTGAATGGGTTGTCCAAGCCGATCCTTTGTAAGTTGACTCCAAATCCATTTTATCGTCATAACATACTGACCAGATGCTTCAGACAAGGTGCTGGTGTCTTGGCCGTTCTCGAGCGGAACCTGTTGGATATCCAACAATCCAATCAAGACTTCCTCAACGCTCTTCTCCAGAAACTCCACGGGATCTTGGAGTCCCGATTTAAGAAATTCGTCGACGAGCAGATCCGCGCCATCGAGGAGACTAAGGTCAAGATTAATAAGCGCAAGGGCGTTATTTCGTTCATCCGTGTCTTCCCTCAGTTCTCCAACGCCGTGGAAAACATTCTCTCGGGTATCGACCCTAACCTAGCCGTGCGCAAGACGGTTGACCGCGAGTACGATCGCATCCTCAAGTCCATGTTCGACTCCCTCAAGATCATTGCCCGCGAGAACCCCGCAGTCAGCGTCGGTGCTGCAGGTGCGGATCCAGAAGACAAGGAGGCTCTCAACTTCCACATTCTGCTCATCGAAAATATGAACCACTTCCTCGAGGAGATCAACACGCACGGCCTCAATGTCCTCGAAGACTGGCGTGAGGCTGCGACAGGCGAGATGAATGAGCACATGAACCTGTACCTGAACGCTGTGATGCGCCGCCCCCTCGGCAAGCTTCTCGAGTACGTCGAGAACATCGAGGGCCAACTGCAGTCGGGCAAGCCCGGCTCGAGCATCGCTTCGCAGCCATCCAATTCCAAGTCCACCTTCCACAAGGTCTTGGCAACGTACGACTCGCGCGAGGTCCGCAAGGGCATCGAGACATTGCGCAAGCGCGTCGAGAAGCACTTTGGCGACGCGGACGACCCTGCTCTCAGCCAGAAGCTTGTGATCAAGGTGCTCCGCGAGTGCGAACGCTTCTACGGCGAAGTGGAGCTGCGCATTAGCCGCATCACCGCCGACGTCTACAGCGGAGACGTCCTCTTCGAGTGGCCCCGCGCCGAGGTTAAGTCTGGCTTCCGCTAGAGGCATATGCTGCTTGGCCTGAGA